CAATGGCGCTAGGCTCAAATTTATTTCCTTCAACTCTAATTGTCTTTTCTAAAGAAATCAACAATTACAGGACCCAATTGTTGAGGAACACAATTACTCGTGAAATGTTAACTCTCTAGACCTTGGTTGTTGTCATCCTATTCTTCGCTAGCTTTCAGTTTCACATAATCAAATGAACAATCATGCACTCGATACAATTGAAAGCCTAGAGAAAGCAAAGAGAAACCACAGTTCACGGGAGGCAGAAAATGAACACAGAGGCGCACACACACACACACACAGACAAAACCCAGAACACAAAGAAAGAGAGAGCGAGATAGAGAGAGGGGGAGAGAATTGAAGAAACCCAGAACACAAAGACAGAAAAAACCCAGAATACACTTAAACTTCCCTATTATTTATAGCTAGTCAAGATTAAATAGAAAATAAAGCAATTACACACGCAGAGAAAAAAATCACAGTTCACAAGAGGTAGAAAATGAACACAGAGGCACACACACACACATGAACACACAGGCGCACACACACACACATGAATACACAGGCGCACACACACACACACAAAATCTAGAACACAGAGAAAGAGAGAGCGAGATAGAGAGAAAGGGAGAGAATTGAAGAAAAAAACCCAAAATGTGAGACCTGAGAAAACTAATCAGGCATTTTATTTTATGTCGGGGGTTTAGATACAAGTATTTATTTTAGTTATCATATATAAAATTAAAATAGCTGATAACACACAAAATATATATATATATATATATATATATATATATATATATATATATATATATATATATATATATATATATATACTTGTTTCAGATTGATAAGTCAAATTTTGGGAATGAAATTCCTAAAGGGGGAAAAATTTTAAAACCTGAACAAGCATAACAAACATGTGATATGACTTTATTATTTTATGTACATTAATGCATGTAGAGGTGTGTAGGTGAAGTTAAGGTTGTTGCATGAAAAATTAAAGAGTTGAATTGTTGTATGTGGCTTAAATTTTGGTCAAGAGATGGTGGTTTGGTAGGTAATTAGGAATTTTGTGAATTGTTCTTAAATTTTCATGAAAACTCATGGGTATGGTTAATTATAAGAAAACATGCAAATTTATGATTTTACAGAAAATTATCAAGTATATTTTGGGTTACTATAATTTTATGAGAAAAGTTTACTTTGGGTGTAATGGATTTGAATAGAAAATTTTACTCGCTATGAATAAATTATTTTATGTGACTCGAATTGATTATAAACTACTAGTTTAATCAATTCGAGTAATTAACATTATTAGTTGTGGATGAAGAATTGAATGTGACACGAGTAAATTATGAAACTTGATTCGAGTAAATCAAATCGAGTAAAAGCGGTACTATTTATTGATACTCAAACGGGATTGTGAATATTGGGTGCTAGGTTCGGGGATGAGCACTGCAAAGAACGCTGCCCAAAAGCTACAGTGAAGAAGTCATTTACGAGATCGAATTATTCGCAACGTAGGTTCACTACCCTACAACTTTTTGTGATAATTTATTAGAATTTTAAACATATGTTTTTACTATGGTTATTATTGGGAATAATTAATTGATCGGGGACACATGGTACACTATGAGAGTCGTTTAAATAATGAGAGAGGATTATGTGATTTAGTGGTCTAAGTAATATGAAATATTTATATGGCTTGAGTTGTTTATGTGACAGGATTGTGGTGGAGTCATCTAAGTAACATGATTAAAAACTCTCTGTGATGTGGGTCATCTGAAGGAAAACTATTAATGTGGTTTGAGTTGTCCCATTGATAAATGATATCTATGAGGTGATACAAGCTTGCAATACATGTGGCCTATGTGGCGCAAGAATTTGCACAACTAAAAATAGCCTGTGTGGCGGTTGTTGTTTACAAGACGATTAGTTGTGTGCGTGTGGGATATTCATTGTGAGGAATAATTTAATTATGTGGAAGTAAATATATGTGTTGTATATTTTGTTGATGTGATATATACAGGTTATGTCTAGGCGATGTAAGCGAATGTGTATGAGGTGAAGTGTAATTTGAAAGTAAGTATCTAATTCGTGATTAAGGTTGTTTCTAAATAAATAAAATTTCCTTTATCACTTGTTGTGCTCTTAAATATTAATTGCATCTTTGCTTTTACTACTGGTCTTAATGACTTTTCAAGAAAAACCATAACGACGTGAGGAGTCTATTGTCGAGTCTAGACGGTCGATTGGGATGTCATCATGGGGTTCATTTTTATATGTCATTTAAATTTAAATTGTCTTATTCTATGTCATATTCTTGAAATCAATATTACGGTATGTAAACAAGCAGGGCTAATGACAAGCCCTACCACTAAGGGGTTTGATGTATTTTTTTTATATATGCTTATTTTTACATAAAGAAAGGTGTATGACAAAAAAATAAACAGGGATTACAGATATTGTACGCCGGGTTGGGATGTTACACAAAATACCTGGACTCCTATCGTTGTGTTGCAGTGGGTGTTACTCCGGTGTGGTGTGTGTTGCAGTGGGTGTTACTTCGGTGTGTGGTGTGTGTTGCAGGTAGAGAAAGAGAGGAAGGGGGAGAAAGAGGGGTATCGTGAGATAGTTAGACTTGCTGGAGGTGTCCTAGGTGAGTTAGCAATTGAGATAAGGGATAGGTAGGTTACTTGTTTTTAAAAATGAAAGAGAGTTAGAGGAGGAGCCTTGGGCAGAGGCAGATAGGATGTTTTTGAAAATGGGTGAGGTAGGGAGTAATAGAGAGAATTATATGATGTGATAGGGAGATAGAGTTATATGAAATATATGAGTATTTTGTATCAGTTAGTATGAGATAAAGAGGAGAGAGTTAGATGAGGACAAGAGTGTTAGGAAAATCTATGATAAGGACCGTTGGATCAAAAGTCTTGAAATGATATGAGCCGCGAAAAGTTAAAGACAAACATTTCTAACTACTTTATTAAATATACTAGTCATTACTCGTGTCTAAAGGCACTATGTAATAAACAAAAAAAATTGCAAATAATTATCCAAATAAAAAAAAAATTGCTCCGAAAACATTCATACCAATTATTCTTTTAAAATGACTTGCCCCCATATTATTGAAACTGTCATAAAAATGAACAAAAAACTCTCTAAAGCAATACCACATATACAATTACCTCAGAGAAAAAAAAATAGTAACAAAACCAAATCAAATTTATAATATTTAAGTAATAAATAAAATCAATAAAATCTATAAGAATTATGTATTCGTCACCATTACCATTAGTCAATTCAATAACATAACATAATTACAAACTCAATCAACCCATGTAATAAATATCTTAAACAAAAAATTGCCCACAAATGCAACCATCTATATAATAAAAATAAGTTCACAAATGTTATCAAAAAAATAAATTTTGCTATTTGAAATTTCACCAACTTCCAAAAGGATGAAATCAAATTTACAATCATAAATTAAGAAATGTAATAAAATCAACCTAAATCAAGATATAAACAATATAGTTGTACCATATGACATTTAACAACAATCAGCTAATGTCCAAACATCTACAACTAAAGCAACACGAAATTAAACATTAAAACCAATAAACTCTTGTCAAAGCATACACCACTAACATTTGATGCAATTGGTTTCATGTATTTTTTTTATATTGGTCGCTTATTATTTTTTTATTGGTAATTGACTTGACTTTGAATTTATTTTTTTATTTTTTTGGTGCTATTAGTAGTGATTTATTTTTTGTACGAACAATAGTTTGAAGTTCTTATTTATGAATTGTATATTTATATTTTTGTGTTGTGTGGAAGTGGTGATGATGATTAGATTGGTTTTAATTTTTTTTTTATGATTGCACTTGGTTTCAATTGTTTTATTTTTGTTGGTCACTTGCTATTTTTTTATTTTATACTTTTTATTTGCGTAGAAGAATTGGTAATTAGCTTGTATTTTATTTAATTTTTTTGTTTGTTTGGTGTAATTGGTATCACTTATTTTTTTTATTAGTGATTAGCTTAGACTTTGTGTTTTTGTTTTTTGGGGGAATTGTTTTATTTTTATTGCTCACTTGTTATTTTTTTTTTATTTTTTTGATGCAATTGGTATCACTTATTTTTGATTAGCTTGGGTTATTTTATTTTATATTATTTTGAGAACTATATGTTTGTATATAGTAGATGAGAGATGGAACTATTAGTATGAGATAGGGAGAGAGAGTTAGATGAGAGATAGGAGTATTAAAAAATTTTGGTATGAGAATCGTCGAATCAATAATCGTAAAATAATTTGAACTGCGAAAAACTGAAAACAAAGAAATCTAGCTACTTTATTATATATATATATATATATATATATATATATATATATATATATATATATTTTTTTTTTTCGCATTTATTTAACTTTAAATTTTAAGGTTAATTACATAGAAAATCTCCAAAGTATAGAGTTTATTTTATTTTGGTCTCTAATAATTTAATTATATTATTTTGGTATTTGAAGTATTGCATATATTTTTATGTGGTTCTTAAAACAGACAATATTTAAATTGTTAATGATTTGTTATCATAAACTTGTTACATGGTACTTGAATATGGGTAAAAAATAATTTGAATAACTCTTGATCAACATTTGAATAACTCACAATCAAAATTTGAATAACTCATAATTAAAATTATATAATTTGGATAATTTTTTGGCCAAAAAATGTGTAGCAATTTAATCAAGGGTTATTTAAATTATTTTTTGTCTATATTTTTAAATTTATGTAATAAATTTATAATAAAAAATTATTAACAATTTGAGCTCTATCTAATTGAGGAACCACATAAAAAAAAAATTAAATATTTTAAAATTAAAATATTAAAAACTAAAATAAAACAAATCTTATCCTTTAGACACCTCTAATACAATTAAGTCTAAATTTTATCTTTTTACTTAAAAAGATATCCATTTAGAAGGACGTCGTATTATGACTTTTTAACAGCTAACCACAGACTAGAGATTCTGGAGGTCGCATACTACTAGAGTCACTCTTCACGGCACAAGCACCAATTTCAATCTCCATGTTGAGCCTGAAACCCTAATGTTCAGATTACCAGTGGACATGAATTCAGGGGTTTTCACATCAAGCTGAGCTCAAACACCTCCCAAAAATGGCCCTGAAAACCATAATTCAATTCCCAGTTTTTGCTCCACCCAATCCACCACACAACAATAGGCACTACCGTCCCGCCACCGAAATCCGCTTTTCCCGGTGGAACAACGCCAACGCCGAGAAATTCATCCGCCACAAACGCACCCAGAAAGAAATCGAAGACGAACTCCGTTTCCACAAACGCTTCGACTCCGCCCTCAACATCGCCAACAATTATGCACACCACCACCACCACCACTGATACTTTCAAATCCACCGGAACGCCATCAACACCCTCTAGACCTTCAATTCCCGGCAAGAAATCGAAATACTCCAAAAACCCAAAAAATTATAAAAACCCCCAACTACGTACACCCCGCATTTTAACCAGTTACGAGGCATTCAGTTGTATCAAATGTATCGGAAGAGGATAAAACTGGTGTTAAAATTAGTGAAAAAGGGGTTTCATATGAATTCCCAGAAGCCCCCTTTGAGTTTCAGTACAGTTATACTGAAACCCCAAAGGTGAAGCCATTAAAGCTACGTGAGCCACCCATTGCGCCATTTGGGCCAAGCACTATGCCTAGGCCATGGACAGGACGAAAGCCGATGACATCGAGTAAGAAGAAAATAGAGTTTGATTCATTTCAGTTGCCTCCGCCCCATAAGAAGGGGGTGAAGCCGGTGCAGGCGCCGGGGCCGTTCTTGCCCGGTTCGGGACCAAAGTATGTGGAGTCGAGGGAGGAGATATTGGGGGAGCCATTGACGAAGGAGGAGATAAAGGAGCTTATAGAAAGCTGTAAGAAATCAAAACGGCAATTGAATATGGGTATATTTTTAATTTACTGATCTTATATGTGGGTTTTGTCTTGAGAAATTCTACTGTGGG